GTTGGAGAAGTTGGAGTCTAATAGATTGAGTGTGTGGACAGGTGTCTTTTATACAGGTAACGAGTTCAAACAGGTGCAGTTAATACAGGCAATGAGTGGAGGATAGGAGGGCTTCTTAAAGACAAACTAACAGGTCTGTGAGAGCCAGAATTCTTGCTGGTTGGTAGGTGATCAAATACTTATTTCATGCAATAAAATGGAAATAAATTATTTAAAAATCTAACAATGTGATTTACTGGATTTTTTTTTTTTGTAGATTCTATCTCACAGTTGAGGTGTACCTACGATGAAAATTACAGAACTGTCCATTCTCTGTAAGTGGGAGAACTTGGAAAATCGGCAGTGTATCAAATACTTATTTGCCCCACTGTAGAGGTTAAACTATATAGGGCTTTTTTAACACCATCACATTAAACTTTAAAGGTACTTCAACCATCCTGAGAGCTGCCTTCACTTCTTTACCTTGTATTTCTGTCAGTGCATGACCATCAACAGGTGTATGAATATTTTCATTGGGGGTTTCTTTTTTAATATCACTAGTTCACAGCTACAGTCTTATGCAAAAGTTTAGGCACCCCTTGATAAATAACAGATTTTGGTGATTTTTTATTTGAACAGATGTTAACACAGTTTCTCTTGGAAATGGAAAAAATGCACAATATTTTCTGCAAACAGTGATGCATAGTTACTTCTTATGCCATAAATTGAACAAAAATAAAAAATAAAAACATTATTATGGCATGGTGCAAAAGTTTGGGCACCCTAAGAGTTCCAGAGTCTCAAAGTCTCTCACAAGGTATCAGACCTTAATCAGCTCGTTAGATCTGATGCACAGCAACAGCTGTCATTGGTAAATGCCAATTTCAAAGCTGTACAAATACTTTGACTCTTCAAACCTTGTGCACACACTTGTGGACACCCAGCAACCATGGGTTCCTCTAAGCAGCTGTGTAAGACCCTGAAAATGAAAGTTATTGATGCCCACAATGCAGGAGAAGGCTACAAGAAGATAGCAAAGCGTTGTCAGCTTGCAGTTTCCACAGTAAGAAATGTAATTAAGAGATGGCAGATCAGGGGAACTGTGGAGGTCAAGATGAGATCTGGAAGACCAAGAAAACTCTCGGACAGAACTGCTCGTATGCTGGTCAGAAAGACAAATCAAAACCCCCATTTGACTGCAAAAAACCTGCAGGAAGATTTAGCAGACTCAGGAGTGGTGGTGCACCGTTCCACTGTGCAGCGATGCTTGCACAGACAAGGCCTTCATGGAAGAGTCAGCAGAAGAAAACCTTATCTGCGTCCCCATCATAAAATCCAACGTCTGAAGTATGCAACAGGACATCTACAGAAGCCCGATGCGTTTTGGAAACAAGTGCTGTGGACTGATGAAGTTAAAATAGAACTCTTTGGACACAATCAGCAAAGGCATGTTTGGAGAAAAAAAGGAGCAGCATTTCATGAAAAGAACACCTTGCCAACTATTAAGCATGGGGGTGGATCTATCATGCTCTGGGGTTGTGTTGCAGCCAGTGGCACAGGAAACATTGCACGGGTGGAGGGAAGAATGGATTCCACTAAATACCAGCAAATTCTGGAAGCAAACATCACACCATCTGTAAAAAAGCTGAAGCTGAAAAGAGGATGGCTTCTACAACAGGACAATGATCCTAAACATACCTCGAAATCCACTATGGAATACCTCAAGAGACGCAGGCTGAAGGTTTTGGAATGGCCATCACAGTCCCCTGATTTAAACATCATTGAAAATTTGTGGGTAGATCTTAAAAGAGCTGTGCATGCAAGACGACCAAAGAATATTACAGAACTAGAAGCCTTTTGCAAGGAAGAATGGGAGAAGATCCCAAGTACAAGAATTGAAAGACTTTTAGCTGGCTATGAAAAGCGTTTGCAAGCTGTGATATCTGCCAGAGGAGGTGTTACTAAGTACTGGTCCCCTGTGGCCCTGAGTGTTTATGTTTTTCCCTGAACAGAAAAAAGCCAAAGGCGAGGAGCTGTTTGAGCAGATCATGTACCATCTGGACATCATAGAGAAAGACTACTTTGGGCTACGCTTCATGGACGCAGCACAAGTGCCAGTAAGATTGGACATACACTTTACACTGCAGTCTTGTTGTTTTATACTCTGCTTTTTTAATGCTTGACTATAGGTGACATCATCTGTTGGATTTAACGGTTAATTTTGAAAAACAAAATGCATTGTAACCTTCAGTTTGCACAATTACTGATCACAGAAAGTTACTAAGACAAAATATCTACTAAAGTGAAGTTATCCACGTTTATTCAGTTATGTTATCCCATGTTTCAGTCAGTTCTCAGCCATACTCTTTATTTCAGTTCATATCACTGTTCACCCATGTGATGGAAGGTTTCAGACAGGGACTTTCATTTTCAATGAACAGGCTAAAGGGATTGGTTATGGGACTTTTGTCTGCTCTGGGAGTCAGACTGAGACAAACCATTTTAGTCAGTGACCCTCTTCCTTCACACTGATACTCTGTGAAGGCCATGGAAGGAAGGGGAGCTTGTGGAAGGAAAGATGAAGCAGAAGGGAGGGACACAGGAGAGGGGAGGAGGTAAATGTGTGGGAGGTTGAATTAAAGTTGAGAGAAGGGGGGGGGGCTGTAATAAAGAATGTGGGGGAGAGGAGACCAGTGAGTGCAGTGAGTTCCTCTGTTATCTCTCTCTGTCACTCGTTCTCCAACACACACACACCACTACCGCTGCCTCTCCTTGGCAGCCGTGCCCCACAGAGCATGAATCTCCAGGAAGATCCACAGCATAGAACACAACACAGACTTTGTGTGTGTGTGTGTGTGTGTGTGTGTGCCGCCCAGGACATCCTCCATTCAGCTTGTCACTAGTTGACTGTATTTTGTAGATTAATTCACTTGCAAATATAAATATTTAATTTACTTATAATAGATTTTTATGTGATTGCTTACATATTGACTAATAGCAGGTGAAGTAGTTGAGTAGTTGATGTGAAGGCAGTATGTCGCTGTTGGCTGTAAACTTGACCTTGTTGGAGATGCTATGTTTCCTTAACTGTTAATCACTTTCATGTTGTTTCAGCATTGGCTTGATGTTACAAAAAGTATCAAAAAGCAAGTTAAAAGTAAGTATATAGAGGCTCTGCCTTTACCCATTTCTTTCACCTCCCCAGACTTGCATAATTATCTGTTATATAACAAAAGAAATGTTCTCTTTACACTTCCGGGTCGTTGGGCACTGTGCACAGTTTTACAGTTCATTTCTTGTGAATAACAAAATTAAGTGTGTATTATGTGTTTTGACTTGTTTACTCCATTTTTTCCACACTAGTATTTTGGTTGTTATGCACATTATGACTTGATAAAATGCGCTCAGCTGTCATTTGGATTTGTCCTGCAGTCGGCCCACCGTACTGCCTTCACATGAGAGTGAAGTTCTACTCTTCAGAACCAAACAACCTGCATGAGGAGCTCACCAGGTCAGTTAAGACACTTCTGTAGCTCGCTTTCTTCTGCAGAAATGTAACAAAACAAACAAAAAAAAAACGTATGTAACTGGGTTTTTTTTTTTTTTTTGCTTCTTAAATCTGTTAACCTCATAAAGGAGGTTAATTTAACTCACTCAGGTGAAACAGCTACTACTTAAAACATATTTTTACCCATTTGTCCAAAAACAAGACATGATGGGCATGTTTGTCAGAGATTGTTGTTGTTTTTAAAATCATATTCCATAAAACATGTTTCATAACAATAATTAACTGTATTGTATTATGTTTTGTTTTTTCCAGATATCTATTTGTGTTGCAATTAAAGCAAGACATCCTCAGTGGCAAGTAAGTACTGTCCTACATCTAACTGTTCACCTTAAAGAAGGACAAACATTTGGTGATGTCATGGCACACTAAATAAATGTTCAGAGAGGGACGGACAGAAATATGATCGTCACATTCACTGAATTTAGGCTGATGCATAACAGTTATTCAGTTTATCATACATAACCTGACAGTGGCGTGTATTTTGCCAGTTCGCAGAATAAAAAATGCCAGTAGTTGTTGTATTTGCTGTGGTATATAAAACTAATCAGGCTGATGTACACCACCCTGAAAAATGTTTCCCCCTTCTTTTAGTAGTTGTCTGTCGGCTCTTTAACACTAACAATTAAAGGTTTTTCAAGCTCTGGCCCTCATTGTTGTCCTAGTCACTATTTTACTACCACCTTCCTTGACAGTAATTTTTGTGGAGTATTAGGTTTATTGTTATAAAGTAGTGATTCTGTCCTGTTATTCAAGCATTTCTTTCACACAGCTAAGTTTTAAATCACTAGGCCAACACAGTAAGTTGCCTTTCTTCGTCCTGTCAGTCATGGCCATGTTGCTGTAAGAGGCTTACAGGATTACATTGTGGTGAACAAAAAAGAATTATTAATAGTCAGTATAATGTGGACTGTTACTGTTAGTTTTTTCCACAAAGGAGATTAATCTCTTTCTTTCTTTCTTGCATTATTTGGCTGAGTGTTAATAGAAAGTGGTCGAGACCAGTAGACTTCAGTAACAGTCATAAGGGCATTAGTGGCCTATGTTGGTATTTTAGTTTTATTAATTTTGCTGTGACTGATTTTCACATGTCTGTATTTTCAGACTAGAATGTCCATTTGACACAGCAGTGGAGTTGGCTGCGTTCTCACTACAGGGTAAGCACCACGGGCGTCCAGGATTCTTCCTTTCATAGTTGGAATCACCTTTGTTGCAAATGTTCTTTGTAGGTGTAATGTTTTTTGCAGCACAAACTATTTAGCAGAGTTGAGATGTGTGCTGTCATTGCTGCCCAAAACCTGGTAGTTCTTCCAAATGCAGTGAAGACCCTTTTCCAAAAGCTAGTTTCTATTTGTTCACATATCTTAAATCTGTTGCAGCCATCCCACAAAGCCAGCATATGCCGCTCCTGAGCCCTGCGCTTACTTTGTAGCTGTAAGCTGGTTTCGCCACATCTCATTTGAGATGTGTGCCGCCGAGGTGCACACCTGACAGAGCCACTCTTAAGTCCAAATAGAGAAGCAGACTCTTGTGTTGCTGCTCCACAAGATGCTTGATGCTTTCGAACCAGCCATGGCTGTCTTTGTGAATCGCTGTGTGCTTTGAGTAATGCTCCCGGCAAGATTGCTCCTATGGTCACTGAGGCACATAAACCCCTCTACTACAATAAGATTGCAAATCAAAGAGATGGCGGAGCTTTGGGTGGAGTGGTGAAGAATGAGATTGTAGACACATGTGGCTGAGATGTGATTTACCACAGTACTTTAAGGGTGACGTCTCAGGATTTCAAAAGAACTTCAGCAGTGAGTCATTGTTCCTCTGCATTAACGGCTATTCTCCCATGTGGACTAAAAAGCTGGGAGAACGTCGGGCCACTGTGAAAGGGAGCTGGCGTTGAAGTCCAGCAATGCCTGTTGAGCTACAGAGATTTAACAGGGAAGGAGCCAGCTGAGGTGGTGTGGGCATCTGTTACAGACCAGGAGAAGTGTCTTTCTGCCTGTTGCCACTGCAATGGACAGATAATTCATCATATGTCTAGTGACGGAAATATTTTGTTACAGTATATGGTACTATAATATATTTGAATATTACTGAACCCAGGGCCAAGTACTTTTTCCTATGTAGTTTTTTACGAGATACTGACGTTATTTCATCATATTTATGTTTTTTTCTTATCTAACCTTCTCCTCAGCAGTGTAAGTCAAATAGCTGTGTAACAGCAAGACCTCTTATCTCAGGTTTACTGGCAGTATTTGCTTATCAAACCTAGTGTAGAGTAGGACAGCCTGATGTCCATTTCAGAGCTACTGATGATGCCAGAGCTTTGTACAGTCCATGTTACAATGCACTAGAAGAGCAGGAATCCGTTGGGCTTTCTCTACTACAAAATGCTGAATGGCAAACCACTCGTACCTTTTAAACTACAAATATGTATTGCTATTAGTGCTAAATGTAGAATTCAACTGCAAGAGCAATATAAAGAGTCCTGCTTCAGAAGACCAAAGATTGAGTCTCTAGAGACATTTTGGAATGGGATTGTGTGCATGGGCCTTTGGAGACAGACACACACAGTCACCGTGGGGTAAATGCCAGCTCATTAGTGCTCCATCCTCGTCATAGGCCCCCTAATCCTGCACCCGTTCTGTCTCCTCTGTTCCTCAGTTAAGCTTTCTCTCTTCATTTTCCTTTTTCAGAATTATGTTGTTGGTCCACTAACATTTACAGAGATAGGAATATGATGTACTCTTTATCCTGAGGGTTTGACACATTAAATATTGAAGAGCTTCCAGCGAAACCTAGTTTATCTTATCTGCCCAGAAATTGGAATGCGATCAGAGCCAAGGCTTCTCACTCTGTCCTGTTTCTACATCAAAGTACCAGAGTAGGATCTTCACCAAGTCTGATTTTCAAAACACTGTTTTCATTTATCTGTTTAAGATTTATGTTCTTTCCTATGTCGGCCATCTTTTGTCCCCCTTTTTTTTCACATGATAAAATCTATGACTGCTCGTCCAATGCGGGATCAGATACCCATCACTCTGTGACCTGCTGTGACATGGAGAGAGAATTTATTTTGTCCATTAGGATTCCTGTTATCTACCACTGATCTGATCTTTTCATGGATGTGTGAACAAACAAAATCACTAGTTTGTTTCACTAATGTATTTGTTCTGTACTGTGCCCCGGGCTACTGGAAAAGGTGGGCCCGGATGTTTTTCAGCTGGATTTGGGCACGGTACACATAGTGCATAAGCATAAACCTTATTGCCCAGTATTGTCACAGTATAAGGCAACCATGCCTAGCGTGAGTACACCCTTAGATCTGTACAGTCTCCCTCAGTCCACAACTATAGCCATGCTACTAATCTTACCCATGTTCCTTAGGGTGTGAGCTGATAAGTATATGTGTTTATGTATTTTCAGCTGAGCTGGGTGATTGTGACCCATTAGAACATAATCTAGACCTGGTGTCGGAATTTCGCTTCATCCCCAACCAAACGGAGGATGTGGAGCTGGCTATATACAATGCATGGAAGGAGTGCAGGTGAGCATTTCACCAACTGTTGTATCTGTGGGCAGTCAGTTAACTTAATGAGGGGGAGTGCATTTATAAAATGGCCAGAAACTGCAGATATCTTATGAATCAAATGGATGTGCTTCATATTCCAATCTGTATGTTGTTTCGACTTGTGACTGTGCCTTTGGCTTTTTTGTTATCATCTTGGCTTTGAACTGCAGTTATATTTTTGTTGATGCTTTTCATTCTGTTTTGTATCTACTCTCTTTTTCCTCCTTCAGAGGTCAGATGCCAGCTCAAGCTGAGATTAACTACCTGAACAAAGCCAAGTGGCTAGAAATGTATGGGGTGGACATGCATATGGTCAAGGTACCTGAACCATTCTTTCCCACTAGTGCATCTTACTAACACATACATGGGATTGCACACCGAGAGCAAATCTGGGATTTAAAACAGAAACAGTGTAAAAGACAGAAAGTGGAATCAATGTGCTTAAGAAGATAAATATGCACCAGGCTCATAATGCTGTCTCGACTCTTTTTTCCGGCCTCTCTGTGTGTCCTGCAGGCAAGAGATGGTAACGAGTACAGTTTGGGTCTGACACCCACTGGTGTTCTGGTGTTTGAAGGACAAACCAAGATTGGCCTCTTCTTCTGGTATGTTTGGTTATGACCTCATTTACTACCATACTGTATTTCCCTAAATAAGAGCAAATCTGGGATTTAAGACAGAAAGTGGAAGCAATGTGCTTAAGAAGATAAATATGCACCAGGCTCATAATGCTGTCTCGACTCTTTTTTCCGGCCTCTCTGTGTGTCCTGCAGGCAAGAGATGGTAACGAGTACAGTTTGGGTCTGACACCCACTGGTGTTCTGGTGTTTGAAGGACAAACCAAGATTGGCCTCTTCTTCTGGTATGTTTGGTTATGACCTCATTTACTACCATACTGTATTTCCCTAAATACTTCATAAGAACGCCTTTGAGTTTTTTATCATTCCTCTGTGTGCACGCGTGTTTGTTTGTGTTGGATATACTCGATGTCTTTGTTTTAGGCCCAAGATCACTCGTCTGGATTTCAGGAAGAGCAAACTAACACTTGTGGTAGTGGAGGATGATGAACAGGTGAACATGAGCACACACTCTCAAATACTTGCCATACAGTGGGATGTTGAAAATGCAGAACATGTACAGTACCGAGGGCTGGGCAATATATGGAATTCATTAGAATGCTAATCATTATAATTATTATTATTTGTAGTGATGTGAAAAATACCCAGATCAGGAAATTGAGATTAGTGCTTCCTCTGCTGTCACTCAGACTCCATCAGCAGCAGTTCACTGGAGTTATGACAGTAACGTAAGCTGTTTATGTTTCCTTGGAGAAGACTGCACTCGTGAGCTTTGCCAGTCAACAGCTTTGAGTGATGGTGGCTACAGCAGCTAAAGAAAATGAAATAATACCAGAGAGAGGCAGTCATAGCACCTCAGTGAAGCCTGAACAGACCACCGCACTGTGTTTATTTGAACCAAAAGTAGCAGCACAACAAGCCTGGTGCCGTTTATTTTTACATGGTTCCTAAACCTGGTCAGGAGCTGTTTCTCTAGTCATTGCCTACCAGGTGTGCTTTTTTTTTTTTTTTTATATTTATTGAAGATCTTAATAATGGCACCATTTCTTGGCAAAAAGTTATCAAAATGCTCATACAACATTGTGAGTGTTTCTAATGTCCATCTGTGTCCTATATGTTCAAATCATGTCTTGATATACTTTTATTTGTTGATGGTGCAGTGAGCAGTTTGTGGCTGTCTTACCTCATCAACATAAGCAACAGTTTAACCAGGGTATGTGAAGCCAAGCTGACTTCACCTGCTGTCCCCTGTGACTTGTATAATATTAAATACCATGAACTCCATCTCATCTCCCCTCTTATGAAAACAAACCTGAATCAAATAAACAAATCTCTATGCTCTCTGAGATAAATCTCAGCATTTTCATTACATAAAAGAAAATGTCCAAAAACAGAGTTTTCTTCACTCGTAATAAAAGAAATGAAATAATGAAACATTCCCTTTAAAGCCTTTTGTTTGAAGTAGTACCTGAGCTCTAAAAGAGGCTTGTTCCAAATCCAAATGAAACAAGACTCGATATTGTAGTAGCCAGAGGCTGGTGTGTATGAGAGAGTGAGTCTGTTTGTGTCCATCCCAGAGGTCTGTGAGGTTAATAGAGAAGCCTGCCCCATCAGGTATTTCTGGCATGCACCATTCTCCTACACACAGGGTTCTCATCTTCCAGCTCAGTCCTACGCTTTTATACTGTGTATTAGATACATGTCCTGTCACTGCTGCCATTTATTAGACATACTTGAATTCTGTGGTGCTTGGTTGTTGTACAGCAGGTGCATCAGAAATGAAACAACAGAAAGTGCTGACTGTGAATCTTGTCAGAGGGTCATTGCACTAAAACCTGTTGCACATATTATGAGCGTAAATCGTGCCTGTTCCCTACAGTAGCTGAAGAAGCACATAGTAAAAATGTACAGGAACAGGTGACTAGTTGGACTGTCACTCTAAGAATGTTCTGTGACTGTGAGCTTGTGTGTGCTTCTCTCTCTGTTTAGCTATTAAATATGTCTGTTGATAGTATTAGTAGAGGTCATTGGGCAGATCCAGGCCCATAAATTAAAAATAGAGGACCCAACTAGGAGCAGATCCTGCTTTGTAATCCATCGTGGTGGTCGGGTCCTACTTAGATTGCTGTGGGGGATGCAGAATTGTTTTTTACATCTAAAAGCACAGGACCTGGGTCTGACAGCATAAGCAACACATGCTACGTTGACAGTTGAACGAAAGAAATGCTAAACAGTATACACAGGATGTAGGTTTACTGTTATTCTGGTACGTGAAGCATATGTGGAACCAATGAGAAGAGGGAAACAAAACTAATATGACTGTGACAGTGGAAAGGCTCCAGTACAAGGTTTGTAACTGGCTGTGGTGCCAGGCAGGCTTTCATCTAGACCAACATGAAATCACATTAATGAGGCACACTGCAGGGCAGCCAGTCATTCTTCACATTCAGTCTCCTTTCACAAGTCACAAGATCTACTGTAGCGCTTGACCTTTGTTTTGCTTAAAGCTGTGACTGAAAGATCTTGAAATCAGTTTGTTTTGAATTTACCCTGTATTAATTTAAAGTATAGAGCGTGGTATAAACATTGTGCTGTGGTTGAAAGACGCTCACATGAGATTCCAATATGTTATTATTCTGTGACCTTATCGTCTCCTCTGTGTCACCCAAATCGAACTGCCTGCTGATCCTTCGCAGGGTAAAGAGCAGGAGCATACATTTGTCTTTCGGATGGACCATCCCAAGGCCTGTAAGCACCTCTGGAAATGTGCTGTGGAACACCATGCTTTCTTTAGGCTGAGAGGGCCGGTACAAAAGAACTCTGCACGCTCTGGATTCATACGCATGGGATCACGTTTCAGATACAGGTACAGTAACAGATAGGGGTGTAAATCACCTGTATCATCATGATATGATCCTATATTGATTCTTTTAGCCAGCAATCCGATGTTTTCCTGAAACTTAAGAATATGCCACAATGAGATTTTGATTCAATTCAGGGGCCTCCAATCAATATCAAACAATATTATGTTCCTATTTCATGCAATTACATTTTTTTAATAGGCTATAGGTTGCATTTCCCTGGTCACGCATACAAAAAAATGGAAATAAGCATATTTTCTACATTACAGTGGGAGTTTTGATTAAAACATAACATCCACATTTACTTGTGGCACCAACAACATTCCCAAGTATCAGGCGCGCTTGTTTAAAAGAAACTGTGGATGATGAGTTAAGTGAAACAAAATTAGAGAGTTATGTGTATGTTTCTTTTAAAACGTACCAACAGAGAAAATCCTAGTGTGACACGGTATCATTCCTATGTACATAAAAAAACCCACATGTGTACACACAGATACTTAAACTGGTACAGGACAGCCACTGTGTCAACATAGTAGCCAGCCATTTTCCTCTGTGTGTTTTTTAAACATTACCTTTTGGATGAGCACTGGCAGGAATGTTTGTTTAACACAGAGGTTACAGGGTTTGTTGTTAATGGAAGGTTATCAACTAGAGATCAGCAGGGGTCATCACTGTGCCTGTTGTTTCTGTGACAATGAGATGTATCAAAAAAAATAATTAACAAACGTTCAGGGTCACCATTACTAACAGTCTTATGTTTGTGTTACCAGTGGAAAGACAGAGTATCAGACAACCAGGGCCAGTAAAGCAAGGCGGTCCTCCTCTTTTGAGAGAAGACCCAGTCGACGTTACTCAAGAAGAACCATGCAGAACAGAGGTGAGGACAACACATGCGGATTCAGTGGCAATAAACATGACCAGTTGACATATATCTTCAACTGCAAAACATATACACATGCAAGCGCATGTATACCTATTATTTAGACACACTGACACTGTACCCTTGCATGCAAAAATAGAAATGTCTTACATGATGTAAGCATAAACACTTTAGAACAATTTCTATTTTAGTGTATAGCTGTCTACAGCACTCACTGTCTGTTCTTTGTGTTTTTACAGGGCCACTCAACCCTCAGGAGTGAGTCATGTTTACACTCTGTGGTAAAGTTTTAATTTAAGAGGACCACACCCACAGTAGTTGGGTTGTCACTGTGTGTCATTGGTAGTATTAACCTGTCATGGGGCCAGCTGACTCAAAGCCTTGTGACAGCCCCCGGAATGTTTATCAAACCTGGTCGGACAAACCTACACATGGGTTTTACTGGTACTTTAGAAGCAACAAAACATATACAGTGTTTAAAACCATGTTGAAAGGATGGAACAGTGTTGCCTTAAATTAGGATGGGGTTCAGACTGGTTCATGGATAACCTGGTAGCATTTAAATAGAACATCTAGTCAAATTGTCCATATTGCACCAAAATGTTTCATGTGACACTGAAAACCCGTGCAGTTATTTACAGTTTAAATCCATATACAGTTTTAAGATTTCTTTCTAAGTGTTTTGAGTAATATCTCAGTTTCTTTCTTTGTTTAGAGTTCTTACCTCAGGCAATGGTGTTTCCTCCAGCAAAGACAACAAGGTGAGCAAGACCTGGGTTTCTTTTATAAATCCTCCTCCATCATACAGGGAAACAAAACAGCAGTGCATGTTTGAAAGGAAGCGAGAGAGAGAGAGAGAGAGAGAGATCAACCACTAAGGGACCTTTGCATTGTTTCATAGAATCCTACTCTTTCTCTTCCCCCTTCAGGTTGCTCCCAGTAGAGGTCCCTGGTCAGGCGTACCTTTGGTCAGTCCCATCGCTGCTTCTACCTGCGGACCAATGGAAATTGAAGCTCTGCCCAGGAGTCCTGGAGGAGACAAAAGGAGGTTGGTGCCTGGGTCATTCGAGTTTTCTGTCTGGTTCAGTCATTTATTTTATTTTATTCTTTAAATTTTCACCCAATGTTTGTTGAAATATGTGTGAGCCCCCTGTAACCCTGAAGGTGGTAAGCAGTTTTGAAAATGAATGAATCAGTGTGGTGAAGTTAAATGGCAAATTTTTCATGTGCTGGTTGCAGTTTACCACAGCTCAGTGCTAAGAACAGGTTAAGAAAGGTTGGGGCGGGCCAGCTGATCCCTACTGGGTGCTGAAAGAAGTGGGTGGGTAGCTAGGTGTGCTTTTCATGGTCTAATGACATGAGAGTAGCTTAATATGGCTTCTCCACTAACCCTGTCTTGTTGTGGTCAGGGATCAGTAAAGAAGTGGGGGGGGGGCAGAGAGTGTGTA